GCTATAGTTTTCTTTGATTTTGGACATGTTTGCTGTGTAGAATTTAGTTTGTTAGAAATAATAGAGTGTGGGGTCTTGCCAATTATAAAAAAAAAGACTTGTTTTTTGACAATGAGTTTTATTTACAAGCATATTCTTTGTTGAACCTTTCAAACTTATAATTTGCCTAATCTCCAAAATACTCCAAAGCTGATTAAGACATATAATCTTTAGATTTTTTTGTTGTTGTTTGTTTTGGTTACAGGTAATAAACTTTTGTCTTTCTCAACCTCAGATCTAACATGCCTTATCCAGTCTAAAGTAGTTTCCTCATATGGGCCCAGCTTGATTTTGTTCTTAGTTCCAATCTGCATCTTCAAACTTTTTATTGAAGTTCAGTAATATTCTTTTTGAGTTTTTATGGTCCATTTTTAGGTTGGAACTTGAGATCTTTGATCAAGAAACTGAGTTTCTTTTTCTATTTATGGTCTCAACTTTTGTTCTTTGTTTGCTTTTGTAGTTGGAATTGAACTATCTAAAGATTTTTTTTTGTTTCTTCTTCTTCTTATTGGTTTGATTAAGTACTTGAGTGCCTGTAATTAGATGTGTATCCTTCTATGTTCAGGTTTCGTCTTTCAGAGAAAGCAAGTCCGATGATAGAAAGTTCTATATATTTACAGCAACCAAGACTCTTCATCTTAGGACTGATTCTATAAGTGATAGAGCAGCTTGGTTACAAGCTTTAGCTTCTACAAAATGCATTTTTCCTCTCCGGTCGCTTAACGGGGATTTCTCCTTCTTGCCGCCAAAGGATTTGTCCGTATCCGCTGAGAAGCTAAAGAAACGGTTGAACGAAGAGGGAATGAGCGAGAATCTTGTGAAAGATTGCGAACAGATCGTGCTAGCAGAATTTTCTGAAATGCATGGACAAATTAAGCTTCTTCATGAAGAAAGGACGAATTTGCTTGACGCATTGAGGCAGCTGGAGGTAAACTTATCTAGCTATTTTATATGTTTATATTCTAGAGGATTCTTGTTTTGCTTTCGAAATCTATATTCTTGTGTTGGCTACTGAACGATGAGAGTTTTTTCTTTCCTGTACAGGCAGCTAATCTCGAAGCTGGAGCATCAGGGATCGATGACAATGTCTACCAATTAACAAAGCATGAATTTTCAAGCCTAGGACGTGGAAAGTATAGTGGTACATACTATTAACGCTGAATATCTCTTCCT